ATAGGCGTACATCCAAATCGGTACCCAGCGATTATTTTAAAAGCGGTTTCGCGATTTTCTCCGCGTTTTATACAAAATTAGGACGACTGTCCACTGTCTACAATTAATGCACATGTGTATAATATGCTGGTATAGTTTCTCTTTGAATAAATTACGTTTCCTTGATTAACTACCTCAATACACCGTTATTTATTTACAGCCTTTGTTAACTACCTACGTATTATAATACCCGCGCGCATAAACATTATAATGGGATGTATTATTACGCAAACCGAACCGTAAACCGAATTATGAAACGTTGCATTTCGCCTTTATCGTATGTCTTTAACGATATGGCGAGAACCAATTCGAACGTTGCAATGTTTGGGTACACGAACCAATTGTATTCGAGTGCAATCTTTTATCACGAGTATTATACATATTCCTAGATTCCTAGCCCTGGATCATTGAAATATACATAACAAACGTCGTGTGTGTTATTATATTTTAGAGCATATATAGATTGATCGAATATAATACACCATTTGTAATGTTTAACATATTAATACATACTTGCAAAACAAAAATTAAGTAAAATATTATAAATATGTATTAAAGTTAATAAATAATATTAAGTTACGTTATAGTTGAAAAAAATTTAAAAAAATAATATACGTGTGAAAAGTTAATGTTTTATTAATTAACTATGAGTTATGTTAAGAGTTTAACTATCGCTAATTATCGCTTATTAACTCGAGTTATGATAATTTTTATTTTTCTTTGGTAAATGTATTATTTTCATAATATTGAACATAATTGTAGAAACTGTATACTATTATTAATATTTTGCTTATTGTAAACTTGAAGATTCATAAGTTCACACACATTATTGATTTAAAAAAAATATATATAAATGTTATTATTTATACGCCTAAATCTATTAAAATAATAAATAGATTGTACATTTAATATTATGTTGAAATTAACCATACGCGAGTTAATTTAAAATTGATTTTTTACTTAAATGTGAAAACAATATATGTGTTTTTATAAAACGTCAATGGTTTAAAGTTAAAATTAACTGAACTTTAATTTTTTTAACTCGTTTATGCTTTGTTTTGTATTTCATATAGTTTAGAATATTATTTTAAAACCGGAAAGCGTACTTTTTGGAGACCGTCATTACGATAAGTAAAAAGATAAGTCAAAATGAATACGAATATGCAATTCGACAGAATGATTTTTAAGTAATTTACGCACCAGCAAATTTCGAACGGAAATATTACATTAACTTGAGTGTATACGTATATAACTATAGGTACAATAAAAATGGTCTTTACGAAAATAAAATTGTTCCTGTAAAAGTAAACAGATCTCGTGGAAAAAAATCTCAGAAGTAATCCCGGAACGAGACGTAAAGACGTGGAATTACTCGACGGAGGTTCGAACTGGAAAGAAAGAAAAACAATGAATACAAGGCGAGGACGAGAGATTGGACGTGAAATCGGACGCGGCCCTTAGAGTAAAGAAGTTTATTTAAACTTAGGTTTATAACGTTCGAGGTGAAGCGTAGCGCATAAAACGGATATTTCTGAATATAACAGGCAAGTATATACAATACAGGTTAAACGAACGATATTTGCAGGTATTTTATTGTATTATTCGTCTGGAAAATATTGTTTAATATATGATATAATATTATTATGTAGTGAAGGTAATCGTGTTAAAAAAATCGATTATACATTTTATCGTATTCGCGGCTGAACAAAAAAAAAAATTACGAGAATTTTACAGTGCCGTAGAATTATATCGTACGTAATATTACTATATAATACAGTTTTTAACGTTTATTATATATTTTCGATATTAATTTAAAATAAAAAATTGTTCATACTCGCGTACCTACACATATACACACACACACACACACACACACACACACACACAAATATAGAAAATATGGCCGCGGGATCGTCCGAGGTCCATATTGAACGGGGTAAACGCATTTTTTTTTCGTTCGGAGGTAAAAAAAAATGATTGATATACCTTTATTATAGTAAAAAAAAAAAAAAATAATAATAATAAAATAATAAAATGAAAAAATGTCCGAACATCGCGATTAAAAGGCGAATTTCAACGTTAATTATTTGTACGATAATAATAATAATGATAATAATAATACGTACCTATACATAATATGCACGTATGTGGGCAGGTACGCGTTATTTTATAATATATACGGTGCACGGATTTGTGCATTCGGCCGAACGGGCGGCGTATTAATTAAAAATAGCCTACACTTTATACTGAACGTTAATGCGCCTCGGGACGAATTTTCAAAACGGCGGCGATGCGGTTTTTTTTTAGTTTAGTATTTTTTTTTTCGCTTCCGTCCGCGAATAAAATCCGTCCGACCGGAGAACCGCGCGCGAATAAAAATCAATAGCTCGGCGCACCCGAGGAGGGCGGAGGAAATATAAAAAAAAAAAAAAAACCCGCTTATAACTTCGACGGCGGCGGCCATTCGCCCGTATAGATATGTACGTATACGTATGTACAGTTAATAATGATATATCGTCTCGTATCGCGCAGTCGGCTCTCGTATATACGGGATGGTATCACTATAAAAATTCGAGGTCCCACACGACCCGAATGTACGCAATATGTGTGCGCGCGCTAAAAAACTACCGAAAATAAGCGTTGCATATTATTACGATCTGTACGGTTCCGGTGTTCGAGTCGGTTTTCTACGGTTTTCAACGCGAGAAAAATACGAATAACACAGCCGTGCACTATTACGCACTCGTTTTGAAAATACGTACACTTGTGCCGTTTTAAATTTGAAAAATAAATAGGGAAAAAAGCCCTTCTTTCGCGGAATCAAAGATATTACCGTACGCGATTTTACCTAAAAAACATACCAATGAATAAAGATAGATAAGAAGAAGAAAAAGGAAAACGAAAAACGAACGTAGCGACCGTTCAAATCAAACGCGTATATTTATGTATACTTCGGTCAAGAATCGAAGTAATCGAATGTTCATCGAGCTTATACATATACAGTGCAATCCCAAATCAATATATCATGCAAAAATAATGAAAACAAATTCGGTACAGACGCATTGGGTATTAGTGGTGGGAAAAATTCGAATATGTCAGAGTTCGATAATCCGGATTTTAGGAATAGGAAATTCGTATTGTGCCGTCTAAAATCCGAAATCTGGCATCTGGTTTATTCGAAATTTCGGATTATCCGGATTTATATCACATCTCGCTACGACTATTAGGTACACGAAAACGGATAATGCCCAATGTACGTATTTACATTTTCAAAACCGTAAAATACGCGTTCGATATACAAAATTCAAAACGGGTGACATTATTTCAATGAAATAAAACAAATTGTGTCTAGGTAACCGCCGTCTTTAGACTGGATAAATAGAATAAAATTGTATGCAATTTCATAAACATCCAAGCCTTAATTTTATTGAATTATCGTGAAAAATACTATAGAGTACGCGGAAAGTCGTCAAAAAGAAGGTTGTATGTGTAATGTTGTGCTCACACAACATATCTAAATATACAATCTTTATAAATAATATTATTATAGTAGTGTGACTAAAAGATTCAAATGCGGCCGAGTACTTGGTATTCTCTATACATTTAAAAAAGCTAACAATTTAATAAACATAACAAAGCATTCGCTAGTCGAGAGGGATCCATATTATATTCTTTACAAAGAAAATATTTCGAATATAGTAGAAATTTACGACATCCGTTTCAGCCTTCCGAGGACACTGCCGCGCCGCCGCCACAGTCGTACTCTGAGTAATCTTATAATTTCCATACACCTCGATAAATATAATATAATTGTTTTATCGATGCGTAAGCCAATAGCACCGTTTTTAACTCACAAATAATATAATCTTTTTCGTTGTTCGAGAAGGATCCGTATTCCATGTATTATTTTCATTAGAAACATTTCAATACGAATAAAATAAAAATAGAGATATACGACGTCTGTAAAATCACACCGCCGTCGTCACATTTTTACACTAGGTACCCAGATACCCTTATTATTCCCATACAAAAATCAAATAAAATATATCGGGTCTTTTCACAGAAACTTGAGTGCCTTGACCGCTCGAGAAATCCTTATAGACGATCACTCTGTCGAGAATCCCGTATAAAGTCACTACTGTCATTTCTTTTGTAAAATTTCTCTAGCTCTGACTTATAACAGCTAAAAAAGTGGCGTTTAATTCATTTAAATAATTATTTTATTTAATTTAACCTTTTTTCAATCCTAATTTAAAGATACACATTTTTTATCTGAGTGCACACAGGTGCAAAGTGTTATTTACTTAAATTAGATTATTTTAATTGAGTTGTTTTTGCCGTCCAACTGCGATTTCAGGACCAGGAGAGGACACATACAAATAACCCTAACGTTCCAACATTATGGACAGATAAAATAATTTTATTTTTATTTATTTATTAATCTCGTCACTATTCTCGGATTCACTATTCCGAATCCCTCCAAACATCAGGAGTATAATCGGATTCTGCTCAGAATCGTTTTTTCCATTAGCAACGATTAATCTTTGAGCACAGATGTACATTGAATTTTCCCTCTCTATATTCCAAACTTCTCACCGACAACCGTGGCCCATCCCCGGCGTGAAGTACATACGTTTATTTTGTTTTTTTTATTTTTAAACATGCAGGCCCACACGGCGATATTAATGCGTACGTACGACAAATCGGAGGTGATAATAATAGTAACAATAATAAAACAATTCGCACGACGCTGCAAGACGATATTACTGTGAGAAAAGTTTACGGTATCGGAGCTATTATAGCGGTCTGCAGCTAAACGAGCTCGGGAAAAAAAAAACAATACGAAAAAGGCGGCGGCGGCGCGTTTATAACCTGCCGATCTCATGGGAATTTTCTGCAGGTACCTACTGGTCCGCTGCAAAACAACCCTTCCCGCGAAGGCGGCGGTCGATCTGTCCGAGCTACCGTCTCTCTCTGGCCGGCCGCCCTTCATCCGGCAACGGTGGCGGGGGCGGCGGTCGCTCTCTTGCTCGCTCGCACCCGGAAACTGGTTCCCTGGAGCCGAACACTTGTCTCGGCCGCCTCTGCACCGCGTCCTCAGCGCGCGCCGTCGTCTCGTCCGTAGTTTTCTGCATAAAATTACGGCGTCGTTTCGCACGGTTTTCCCACACTTTGCACGATCGCACGCACGCACGTACACCGTCGCCGCTGCAGCACGTCTCGTCCGCGTCGTCGTCCCGTCGTCCGTACCGTACGTATCCGTACCGTTTAGTACCGCGTCGGGTTTTCCGGCGTACGTGTTCGTCGTCACCGTCGTCTGGTAAAATACCGCGGGTGCGATACCGCGATCGTGGTAACCGTTCCGAAACGGTAGTGCGGCCAAAGTCCGAGAAAACGAAATCGAGCCGTATCGAAATGTCGCGGTTTCGACGCGTCTTATAGGAAGATATTTTGTCGTTGTCTCCGTCTTACCGTCTTTTATGATGATACAGCGAATGCCCGTTTAACAGAACTGATTCCGTATCGTTAGCTTAAACGTTATTGTGGACTATTATCAAACTTATGGGGAACGAAGAAATTTTTATCAATACATGTTTTTTTTCCGTTACTTTAGTTAGCAAGCGAGATACGAGTGTGTGAAATATCACAGTTTAAAAACGTTTATGGTTCACTTAATGATTAAAATATCGAGAAAAATACCGACGAACAAACATAGATAACGTTCCTACCTTTAGGTTTGATAATAGGTCAATTCATTCTAATATTAAAACTAAAATAGCGAAATTGGTTCTGTTGAATGCAAATTCAGTATGTTATACGTTTTTAAGGCATCAAAAACATCGAATGCGTCATAAGAATATTTATTGAATAAATGTATGATTTAACGTATAGAAATCGGCATCCGGCCACGTTTTTTTTTTTTTTTTTTTAATGACCTTAACAGAATGATTGATCTTCCGAAAGATACTCTGCATCAAAAATTATTAACTTTTTCATTTTAAACAGTTTAAGATATGCACGCGAAGTTCTGAAATGTTACAATGCACTTATATTGTTCATTCTTATAAAACCACTATTAACATTTTATGTTCAAACGGCTACTAAAAATTCCATAAATACATATGAAGTTTTAATTGAAATAAATTTTGGCGTAGACATTTTTAATCCAGTGATCCAGCGGTTATATACCAGTGGTTTTTAAAATTTTGGTGCACACGGGCCCCTGATGAAAGAATTTTAGAAATCGTGGACCCCTTAACAATACTTTTTTTTACGATTTTTATCTAATGTTATCATAATCAATAATTACCGATAGAGCCGTCGCGGACCCCTGATATGAATATCGTGGACCCTCAGGTTTAAGAACCGCTGTTATAGACGATAACTTAACTCCCTATACAGAGGTGGCCAAAAGTCGCGCAAAAAATTTGCCAGATAATTCGCTTACCACGGAAGATATCGTTGTTGTCGAGTTCGATCTTGACTTCTTCAAGCATTTCGAGGTATTTGGGACCGTTTACCGTGCCGTCGTAAAAGTAAGAACCGATTATGGTGTAAAAACAGATGCCATACAAGACGGTAGGCGTTGCGCGACTTTTGGACACCTCTGTATTAGCAAAATTACCAAACATAAAAATGGTATAGGTACCTCGCGACGGGGTTAATGGAAATTAAAAATAGCAAAACCAAAATGTATTTAAACTGAAATCTTATAGCTGTGTATTTATTTAGTGTTAGGGTAGCTCTAAAATTAATAACCGGTAGTGATTTCATTATCTAAAATAATGAACAAATAGGAGCAATGCAAAACATTTTAGAACTGCGAACGTCTTAAATTTTTCAAAAAGAAAATGTCGAAAAACTGAGTGTCTAGCGAAGTATTCTATCATCCTATACAATATTCAATTTAATTGTTGGTCTCTTAGACCGACATTTGTTTTATCTGCCTATCTTGCCAATAATATTCAATGAAGACATTTCGCATTTCCACGATTGTGACTCACTGATTGAGTTAGATGTGTTTCGTAGTTATTTTACCGAATATTTTTTTTTAAAAATAGCCTAATTTCTTAACAAACTATTAATGGTTACCTTTAAAAGAAATTAAGAAATAATATTGGAATATTTGTAAATTATGTGTTCTGTGTATATATTGTAACTGGGCTTTCGTCCCTTTAAATTTATAATAAATCAAGTTAAATTAAAACACGTATATATCTTGTTATAAAATGAAAATATTAAAAAAAAACTATTTGATCAAGGCATATTGAATCTTTGTAAAACTTATGAACGGTTCGTTTGTCGTAAACACAATCAGAAAACTACAAATCGTGGAAGTGCGGAATGATTTATTACGCATGTGATAGACGGGAAAAAACAAATTTTGGTGTAGAGGTCCATAAGGTCCATTTTTTTTCGGTTTATGCAAATTTATCCGTTTGTATAATCGGTACGTGAAAATCAATGACGTATGAGCACCAAAGAATATAATATTCGGCGACACTGTGACGGAAATAAAAATAGACCAAAAACAAGGAACAGTATGTAATACAATTAGGTAATTGATAATTTGTATTGTTATTTTTATTATACTTTTATTGTATACGAGTAGTAGTTTTTTTTTTTAAAAAAAAAAACCTGAAACTTTTTTGGTATATATTTAGAATAGGCATACATACAGTTTTTCATACAAATTTAATTAATTACGATAGTTTTAAAATATAGCGCGCAACAATTTTTACGGGACACTTTATTTTGAATATGTCATGTAAATGTAAATGTTTACGTTACAAAATTAGATGGCTATAAAGTACCTGCGTTTAATTGATGTGCATGTAAGTTTCATTTTACAACCATCGTTTACGGGTTTTTTAATTTAAATTACTCGTTTATGAGGGAAAAAAAAATAAATGATCATTTTATAATTTCACGATTCGAAAGAAAAGCCTACATGAATATTATACGAATTATAAACGTATCGCGTTTACAAAAGGGGTAGAAAAGTTGGTCCAAAAGTCACCGGATAATAAAACGTTATTATATCTGAAAAGTTTGTTATTATATATTAATACCAATACCGAGATTATTATTGTCATCACAAACAATTTCGTTTCTGGCGCAAAAAGAAACGATTCGTGTCACTCGTTCATCGAGAGATCTATAAAATAAAATATTAAACGTATTGATGCCTAGTTGAATTCCGATCAATTTCTATGCGAGTTTTAAACAGTTTGTAATTTAATCAGTTTTTAATAACTCGAGTTTCAAACTGTTTTTCTAAAGTAATATCTACCTGTACAAAATTTAATAAAATGCATATTTTAGTGTGTTATGTTTTAAAATTCGTATATTGCTAAAAAATAATGTAGCTATTTTTTTTTTAAGCGGGAAATTTTTACCACTCTTACCTATACTATTTTAAAATTCAACATAAAATATCACTCCTTCGTTTACGACAGTCAGTGTTCAGTTATTACTGGAGTTAGAAATTAAAATTCAGTTATATAATTGTTTAAAAAATATTAAAAAAATAAAAACCTAATATTAACAAAAAAAAAAAAAAAAATTAAAAACGATTCCCAATGACAACCTTATTTTTAATCTTTTAATCTTTTTTAACCTTAAGAACTAGGCTTTTCTTTTTATCTCTAATATTAATGAGAATTTCAAAAAATTACTTTTTTAAAGTATCACTCAGACAACATTTCCATTCAAAAAAGATGCTATACTTGATAATCGGAGTAAGATTTCAGGTAGAAAAAGTGTTCATATAAAAATAAATAATAATAATAAACATCATTGTAAAACCAATACAAACGAAAACGAATTAGAACTTTTTATGTTATCGTAATAACGTATTACCTAATGAACGCTATAGTAGTGTAGTTACTACTACGAATTTATATTATATTTTTCGGTATTCGCGTGAATTCGTTTTAATAAAACAAATTAGAGATACTTAACAAAATAGTTATACACCGCATTTATATAATTTAGTCCAATATAATTGCTTATTGTTACGTTTATGGTTATATTATGGTAATTCACCACTCCAAAACTGAAAGTATAATAGGATAATGGGTCGAAAGTTTTAATCATCATAAAACGAATGTATATAGTCGTGTAAGTTCATATTGCAACATTCGAATTTAAGTATATTTTGCGTATTTACGGCATCAGACTTTTATATCAGAGTTAATATCCTGAACGATACAAATAATGAGTTTAGATTCGATCTTAGAATATATCTATTTTTTTTTTTTAAAAGGTTTGAGCCTTCTCAAGAGTTTTTCACAGTGAGACCCGGTAATCTTTCGATATTAATTCAAATAAATAAATAAAAAAATCTATACAAATATTTACGATGTTCTTACTTAGTACCACTAATTTTTTTAGTTACTCACGTCATTTTCAATAAACTATAATTGTTATTTTAGTTAATTTAATTTAATTTCTGGGGTTTTTTTTTACAGAAAATGTGTATAAATGGTGTACCTATCAAAAATCCTAGCTAACTCATTTTTTTTTTCAAGTTACAGCACTTTTGCTTAGCAGAGCAGAGTACCTTAGAAGATACGGAAAATCCACTCGGTGATTACTTAATTAGACAAATATCTTAAGATTCCTAACAGTTTTTTTATAAAATTAAAAATTGGCAACAAATTTTGATTGATCCGTTCTACTTTTCGTCGATTTTTCGGTTACAAGGGAAATACATGACTAATACTACTGATACTACTCCACTCAGAATCGATTTTTAACTCTAACGATTTGTCGTTAACTTAGTGTATTCATTAAATTGTCCTATATTATAAATCTTTCATCTTTCATTTCAATCTACTATGCGGTGACCTATTTATGGTGCTTCCGGACTTTTAAACAATTAAATTTGTATTAAATTTTTGACTTTATATGACAACGACTGTCCATCAAAATATGGTTTTTATTGTTTTTTTTTTTTTTTTTAGACATTTTTCCCCTCTGTCCGTGAACTAATCAAAAACATTCCAATTTTTACCGGATATATATACATACAAAATACCAACGTTTTATTATTTTGATTAAAGAAATATTCAAATATTTACTCACGAATAAATTATACAATATATTTTTAATAAATTCGTAAAATATAATCATTTCCATACGAAACGGTTATTCGAATTTAATATACTCGTTATATGGGTATATATTTTGAATGTTACATTTTTTTTTCCGGTATGACGTTTTAATCGGTTCACGTTTTAATTATAATTACATTTAGTGATGTCACTGTCAGCAGACTATTTTATCTAATAGTTAATTATTTATGACTTTATACGTTATGCCAATGGATTATTGAAAGCATATGTCTACTAAATATACCTATACCTATAATACATTTATCAACGATATAAACGCAACAAATATTAACGTTCTCTGCGAAAAATGTACAAACTGCTTGTAGCTAAGATGGACATATTTTCTTTTTAGCTACGCATTTATTATAAATATTTTCAAAAATAGAGTGTATTTTTAATTTTGCTAATATAATATGCGTGAGGACGGACATGATAATGCACGAACAATAAATATATTGCATATCTAAGCCGAGTTAATAAGAAAAAAGTAACTATTTAACACGTTAAAGTTCAACTGTTTTTATAAACTTTAAATATAAGTTCAGTTAAGTCGTTGAGTATTTACTGAGTCATGTTAATTTGTTTTTTGTATAACTCTTATTGGCATATAGTAAAAATGATTGAACCTATAGAGTTTGTGATTTTTCGAAAGTACGAATGATCAGCGATAAATGTTTAACACGGGAGAATATCAAATTATACTGATTTTAAACTCAAAACTCTTTACACGTTTTTTTTTTTTTTTTGTAAGAAATAAAAAACAAATATTTTTATCTATATTCAAATTGTAATTTCTTAACTATAATATTATAAACATGAAAGAAAATATGTGTTATGTTTTCGCGCCTAAACCGCTGAACCAATTTTGATATAGAGATGGATGGGACCTTGGAGAAAAACCTAGGCTACTTTTTTTTGCGAAAATATAACTTGAAGGGGATGAAAGGTTTTTAAGTATTTTTGATATAAAAATAAAATTATTTTTGTTGAATTATGGATTACCTTAGTAACACGGATGAAAAAAAAAGAAATTAAAATAAATATAAAAGTAATAAACAGAAACAAAAATGCTATAATAACTATAAAAACTTAAAATAAAGAGTCTATCTGCCTGCCGGTCTATTATTTGCTTGTAATAGGATGGGGTACTTTAGTAACATGGATGAAAAAAAATAAAAAACTATGTACTAACGCTGTACTGGGTGGGTAAGTGAAAAGTGTAAACATGTAAAACGTCAGCTTTGAATCTTTGTATTTTTTAATACAATAACAACACCACAATAATATTATATCCTCATAATATTTTAGCGTCATTATAGTGTATATATTATAGTTTAACCCCTGTACTTTGTGGGTATATATAGTAAAACGGATGAAAAAATTGATAACACACTAGATAAGTTTTCTATCTGCTTTCAACCTATATCTTTTCATTCGATTTACTGATACGAGCACAAAAACACGGAAATAAAGGTAAAAAATAACAAAAAATTTACACGTGCAACGGTAGCCGTGGGACAGCTAATAATGTATAAATTGCAAATTTAATACTGCGTTAAAACTTATAGAAATTCAGATTAACTCGTTAATAAAAACATCGTTATTAATGTTGTTAAACAATGTTTAGATTTTATAATAGAGTATTCTATAGTATAAATATATATGTTCAAATAATAATATTTAAAAACATTATTGACAAGTAGTTTTAATTTGTTCAAACATATCTTAACGTAAATATCTCCTAGGTACCTACTTTAAGATTATAATCATATTATCCAATTTATTAATTTTCTTAGTCAACCAATTTCCAAAATGTAAAGTAGTACTACAGAGTGACGCAAAAGATAAGTTTGCGCGATAGGTTCATATAAGAAAACGTTTTGATAAGATTGTAGGCAAAATGATAAAAAGTGAAATTTGGATATTTTTTTAAAAATTAAATTTCAATATATTATTGACTTCATAAACACCTAATCTGCACCGTGTCCTCCATAGCGGACATTGGGACACACTTATAATGTAAGTATATTATTAATAAATATGTCGAAAAACGTATCGGATTTTTAAACAGATTTAAATTAGGGAGGTATATCCAAGTCAAAAGGAACGAAAAAAAATCGTTCATGTTAGAGAGGAGTACCTTCGATAAAAGAACGAAATTCCAATGTATTCCCTCACAGATCCGTTCCCGATAAATTCGGAAAGAACGAGTTTCTTTGACACCGTTCCTTCCGAGCACTGGTTATAATATCGTTTTACCGATTATTACTACTGCGTTGTTTTCTCTCTCTCTATCTCTTTTTTTTTTTACCAATTCGTCGTTGTGTTGCTGTATACGAGCACGTGCAGTGTAAATCGTTACCGTCGTCGGTCGTAAATAACCGTTACCGTATTGCGGGCCGTTAACAAAATACACGATTCTACTCGGCGCGCCCGTCGGAA